GCGTATCATGAAATGACATGAAATCTTGTCAGATGAATCTGTTGTACACAAAAGGTACACATAGATGAATAGCCATTTAAAAGATAAAACCCTCCAAAAAATAACGATGAACGCGTTAAAAAGGACTGAAATCCACCCTGTGAATTTGTACTTCGACGTTATTACTCAAAATAATTTTCTATCGTGGATTTTCAAGTTTTCATACTTACACGCTGTATATTTAGGTCTACAAATACATCACAAAAAAGAATCAGACATCAAATTGAAAAAAATAAAAAAAAACTAGTGTCAACACAGCTTGAGATAGGAGGGACGTAATCGGGCCTCGTTTTTTAACTATACTGTGCCAAATCTGAGCGCCAATTGGCAGCTTAGAGCGGAGCATAGCGAGTCCACGCGTTGCGCCGTAGCGCCTTCAATTTTGCAGAGATGCAACGCGGACATCCATTAAGTACGAATAGTCGTAGCTCTGCGCCGTCATCAACAAGCGTTGAGGTGTCTCTTATAATTGAAGTTTGAGAAAGTTAAGGTTAAAGTGAAAATCCGTGAATCAATCGACAAACCCACAAATCAATCGATAAACCCATGAATCGATAGACAAACCTATGAATTAATCGACAACACCATTAATTGCTTGAAGTTTTCCCATGAAATAGATGTCTCTTAAGTCGCTTTTGATCAATTAACTTTTTTATTTTTCGATCAATTAAGGTCAATTGACGCGACAATTGGGATTTTAATTACTTGTCGATCGAGTGGCTGTCAATCGGTTCACGTTTCAATTTTTGATAAATTTATGTCGATCGAAATTATACCCTCTAAAATATTGCGGTGATAGCATATCGACGGCGTAAGTCCGCAATCACATATCTCGTTTGCGGTGCCTAAAAATTTCCGCCTCTACGTTATTGTTTTAAAAGAANACAGATTGCACTTACACAGATTGCACTATCAGAGCACGGGTACCAACTTTTGGAAATTATAACCGAGGTTACAGATCTGTCAAAGCAACGTTTTGAACAAAACGGAGGAGTTAAATTCTCATTTCGAGAGTGCCGACCTGCTCAGCCATCCTCGAATCAATTCGCTTGATTCTGCTTATATATGCATAATTTAAATCAGCGCGTCGCATTCTTAGGCTTTTTTTGAAAAAACCAAGTAACGTAGACTCTTGGTATTCACTGCACATAAACTAATGAGCCCCAGAATGAGAAACAACTTTAAATCATAATTATTGATGGATAAATAAACTTTTTACACGCTTTGGAAAATCTCAGAAGTTCGCGGTAGTCACTTTTCGGTAAGGAACTAAGAGACTCGGTTATTGTATCGAGTAGGGTTCGAAACGATCGCAAAGGCGGTATACTACGTATACGCGCCAAAAACTAGTGTCAACACAGCTTGAGATAGGAGGGACGTAATCGGGCCTCGTTTTTTAACTATACTGTGCCAAATCTGAGCGACACCTCATTGGCAGCTTAGAGCGGAGCATAGCGAGTCCACGCGTTGCGCCGTAGCGCCTTCAATTTTGCAGAGACGCAACGCGGACATCCATTAAGTACGAATAGTCGTAGCTCTGCGCCGTCATCAACAAGCGTTGAGGTGTCTCTTAAAATTGAAGTTTGAGGAAGTTAAGGTTAAATTGAAAACCCGTGAATCAATCGACAAACACACAAATCAATCGATAAACCCATGAATCGATAGACAAACCTATGAATTAATCGACAACACCATTAATTGCTTGAAATTTTCCCATGAGATAGGTGTCTCTTAAGTTGCTTTTGATCAATTAACTTTTTTTTTTTTTTCGATTAAGGTCAATCGATGCGACAATAGGGGTTTTAATTAGTTGTCGATCGAGTAGCTGTAGATCGGTTCACGTTTCATTTTTCGATAAATTTATGTCGATCGAAATTATACCCTCTAAAATCTTGCGGTGATAGCATATCGACGGCGTAAGTCCGCAATCACATATCTCGTTTGCGGTGCCTTAAAATTTCCGCCTCCACGTTATTGTTTTAGAAGAAGGCAAATTGACATCATTCCATTTCGCATTTGTTTCGCACACAGAAGAAAAATCACGACAGTTTTAAAGGATTGCCATTTAGTAGTTTTCCGTTTAAAAAATCAAGTATGACAGAAGGTCTGAGACGTCGCAAAGCGAGTTATGTGATTGCCGACTTAAAGCGTCGATATTCCTGGGAGCCAAAGCAAAGCGTAGAGAGAGCTCCAAATTTGGCCTCGTTAAAAGCAACGCGGAAAGACAAAGAGAAAATAGAGAGCGAGAAAGATGAGTATGCGTGACAGGCCGAGGAATTAGGCCCAGACAACGATTTGTCCAACAGAATATACGTTGTTAAGTCCGGGCTAGGAGCCACAGCCCTGTATTATAAATACCCGCGAGAATGTACCACACCCATGGATGTCTACCCTAACACCGACGAAAAAAGCCCCTAACGGATTCGCCTCGGTCAC